TAGAAAAAACATAACATATTAAAAATTAAAATTAAATTTTATTCAATAAAAATTTATTTTAAAATAACATTAATAATGAATTAAATTTAATTATAAAATTACTATATACTATTATATTTTTTAATAAAAAAATAATATAATAATTAAATTTATTTAGTTAAAGTAGATATATTGAACTAAAAATTATAATTAATAATTTCATTCATAAGGAAAAAATATTATGTGATACATTTATAAGCAAATAAAAAAGGAAAAAACTTACCATATTATACCATTGACCCAATGAAATGGTTACCATATACTAGTGTTTGAGAAAACAAAAGGTTATATATTGTAACTACCAATATTAATTACAAATTAATTTTATATTATATAAAACTCGATAATCTTTTAAATTTTATTTGAAATTTGAAATTTTATCCATAACTTACCTATATATATTAATATATTAAAATTTCCAAATTATCAGCAAACAAAAATTTGTATTCAAATTGTAATTTAATAATTAATAAAGTAATATATCTTATCATAATTTGTAATTTATTAAATTAATATTTAAATTTTATTACTTATGGATGTTCTTTTTTAATCAAAATTTACTACTTACATTGTTTTTATTTGTTTATATGTTGCATTAAATCAAGTTAAATTAAATAAAAAATCCTAAAATTAATTATTTAATTACTATTACACTAAATGGTAATCACATTGAAAATTACCGAATTTTAAGATAACAAAAATGCAAACCATATCCATGAATCTTAACTAACAAGCAAAAGCCATTGCAAAAAAAAAAAAAAAAAAAAAAAAAAAAGGGGGGCAAAAGTTTTATTTCTGTCAAGGAGTAAAAATATGTGTAAATTACCATTAAACAGGTAAAAATTAAAATTAAGCACAAATTATTTTATGTATAAGAAGCAAAATTTTAAATTATTATTTAATTAAAATGATAATTTAAAAAATAATAAATAATAAATAAAGATTAATATATCTAGTGAGATTATTCGTGCATACTTGGGTTTTACAAGGTAAGTTCGCGCCATCCTGTCTTCTCGCTTTGTCGCGTGCTCCACGCGCTGAAACGGCGTCTATCGTTTTTGTTTTTTACCCTTTATTATCTTATACTTATACTTCTCCTTCATTTTCTCACCTGATCTCAAGTTAACTGAATATTCGCCACGTCATGACATTGCCACGTGTTTTTCGCTGACTGGGCAATGAGGAAAGCTGGAAGTCGTGCGGTGCACTTTAGTACGTCTCCCCCAGGTGACGATTATCTACGGGCTAGGACTCTTTTAAGGTGGGCGCTGTGAACGGAACAGACTGCAACGCTCCGCATTGGTGTCTATCTCGTTCTTTCTCACATTCGGACCGCGTAGCCTCGTTTTCTCTGGTGTTGAGTAGTTTGAGGGAGTTTGGACTGCTATCGCTGGAACATGGACGGGTTAGATCGGTCTCGGGCTTTCGTGAAGGATGTGAAGCGTCTCGTTATCAAGGTTCGTTTGCATTCCTCTGAAATTGATTTTTTGTTGTTGTTCTGAATGTTGATTTATTTGTTTTGGTTTTGCGTTTGGATACATGTTTAAGATGATTTGTGCATGTCCGATTGATTTTAGATTGTTCTTGTGGAGGGCACCCAATGAGGTGAACCTTAAAATTCGTTCGTTTTTTTTTTTCGTATTACTCAGTGTTTGGCTGCCGGGAATTTGAGTGGAAATATAGAAGAAAGTGAAGTTTGTTATTGATTTGTTGATATTCTTTTCGTTTTTCTAGTAGTTGAAAGTAGTGTGAATTAGGCGAAATGCGTGTTTTTAGCTCGATACGAAGTTTACATGCTTAATCATACTGGGTTTTGTTAACCGGGTGGTGTAGGATCTCTTTTTGTTTTTTTTTTAAAAAAAACTTTTATCTTGCGTTTAGAAATGAAGCCTTTTTGGATAATTTTCTTTTTCAAATTTCGCGGGAATATTACTGGAATTGTGACGTTTTGTAAATCGACTCCGTGATAACTGAAAACAACCTCAAAAGGGTTGTTCAGCATTGATTTCTTTTCTAAAAGATAGAACTTTTTGAAACAGAATCTTGTGTGGTTTTCATTGCAAGTGGGGTATACGTCTGGATATAAAGGGTGTTTCTTTAATTCTTTTTATTGAATTCGTTTTTTTTTTTTAAAGTTGGAATCAATTCGGTCAATTGATGCTTTGATAAATATTAAAGGTTGGAACAGCTGTTGTTACTCGAAATGATGGACGGTTGGCACTTGGGAGACTTGGAGGACTTTGTGAGCAAGTAATTTGTTATTTCATTTGCGAGTATTTATGTTCTTCTAAGCATAATTTCATTAAGCATGCCTCTGTGCTGGCATTGTATAATCTGAAACTCTTGCAGATTAAAGAACTAAACTCTCAAGGATATGAGGTTATTTTAGTGTCATCAGGCGCTGTTGGCCTTGGTCGCCAAAGGCTCCGATACCGGAAGTTGGTTAACAGCAGGTTTTTAATTGTCAACATCAGTACTTTTATTCACTAAATAAAATGTGACATGTTCAGATGTATTAGCACTTGATGGACTTATATGTTAGCTTTCTGTCCTTGTTGGTTGTTCATGTTTTCAGCTTTGCTGATCTCCAGAAGCCACAGATAGACCTTGATGGAAAAGCTTGTGCTGGTGTTGGACAAAATTGTCTTATGGCTCTGTATGATACCATGTTTAGTCAGGTGGGGGAAATGGGTTGGCATGCATATGTTTTGACTTTTGAGAAACTATGAAAACCTGCTCTACTTTTGTGACTTAGGGATAATTTTGAGTTCACTTTATCCCACATGGAGAATTTGTTTTGCCACTCTCAAGATGTGTGGCTATCTCTTCAGACCATGTGGTAGGACTTGTTTAAACATTATGACCTGTTTCCTTTTTTCTGGCAGCTGGACGTGACATCAGCACAGCTTCTTGTGACAGATAGTGATTTTAGGGACAAGGATTTCAGAAAGCAACTTGATGAAACAGTTGGATCATTGCTAGCACTCAGGGTTATTCCAATATTTAATGAAAATGATGCAGTCAGTACCAGGAGAGCCCCGTATGAGGCATGTTATTGTCCTTGTCTCTACATTGAGGGTTTGTTATTTTTTTCCCAATAAACAGGAAGTATACATTTTGGGTTAGCCTCAAGGATACAATGTGTTTTTACCTTGAAGTAGATACTTACTGATGATACTGGATTGTACTTTCAGAAGTGTCAACAGCTCCAACGAGTATCTCCTCTCAGACGTAACATTCCAACATAATGCCACGTCAATTTTTGGATGATTTTGCATAAATTGTTATTTAAGACACAATGATTGACCATGAACATAAATGATGTTTATTTGGAGCTTGGATTTTGTTTCTCTCTACTTTTTGTTCTATTAACTGTATTGTTAAATGTTTAATATGATAACCATGTACACACTAAGTATGCAATGTTTACATATTAATGTTAGAACTTGCAGCCTTAGCCACGATAGGTGTATTTCTCAACTTGAGCATAGATTTAACTGCAAGTTTGTCTTCCCCTTCATTGCTTCTTAAAAGACACGTATCAATGTTAAAGACACACGTATTACCCTTCCATGGT